GCAAAATGTGACCAAGCTCTAACCGAGGTTCACAGCCTCACTGTACAGTAAGAATACAACTCTCCATGCTTTCTTGAAATGCAGATTCTGACAGCAATATTAGCAACTAGTGTGTCCTAATAATTCTGAATGAAGTACTACAAACTTAATTTGTTAAATCCTTGAACGGCAGACACCTGTAGGAGGGAAGAAGGGAGAAATTTGGAATGGTTATTTCCAGGGCTATTTTTGGGCAGGAACGCACAGGAATGGAGTTCCGGCTGGCTCCCAAGTTGGCCACGCCCAGCAGGAACTCATTAGCATAGTAGTCCACACCCAACAGCAGAAACGCATTAGGATTGGCTACATTAGGGGTGTGTGGCCTAACATGCAAAGAAGTTCCTGCTACAAAAAAGCCCTGGGTTTTGACAACAAACAAGGTAAAGAGAATAACAAGCAAAAGGTGGGTGTGGCTGGATAACCACACTAATGGTAACATGGGGGTGCGTCCTAATGTGCTAATGAGCTGTGCTGTCAGGGGTGTGGCCCAATATGCTAATGAGTTCCTGCTGTTGGGTGTGGCCTATTGTGCTAATGAGTTCCTGCTGGGTTTTTTCTACGAAAAGAGCCCTGGTTATTTCATTCTGGCTTTAACCAAAAATGTTTTTTAATTGTTAATGTAAACCACCTTGAACCATGAGGAAAGGCAGGGTAGAGTCCTTTTAATAAAAATAATAAATAAATCCTAAAGATTACTGTAGAGTCAGAATTGTGGGAGCAGTTCATACTTCTTTCAGTGCTTAAAATACATTAGAAGTTAGCAATCTCTATTTGTTTTTGGGTTTTTTTGTTTGCAGATAAAGGGGTAATGGACATCATTGCTCACCCAGATAATTATTTAGACGACCTTTTTGCAGACTACTATGAAAAAGCTGCAAGCATGACTGACATCTCCACAAACTATCTCCGAGAAGGGGCTCACGTACGAGTTAATTTACTCAATAGCAACATCCCCAAAGGTCCCTGTTCTTTGTGCGGAATGGGGCGTTCTAAAAGGGAAACAGTCTACGGTTGCCTCGAGTGTTCTTCCAATGGACAAAAGTTTGTACGACTGCATGCTGTGCCTTGTTTTGACCTATGGCACAAAAGAATAAAGTAAGATTTTATTTTAAACGCCTTAGAGGTGACTGTGCCACAGACTTCCTAGTGAGTTCTAGCAGTATAAAACATGGAGCCACAAATCATTTTATCTCCTTTTGGGTTTTTAAAGCAATACTTTCTCATTAAGATAAACACCGATTCAGAAACAACTTCACAGGGCCATTTTTCCCAAATATGTTCTGTTCCAGTTTGGTGTCGTGGTTAAGTGTGCGGACTCTAATCTGGGAGAACCGGGTTTGATTCCCCACTCCTCCACTTGCACCTGCTGATTTTTCCCAAATATGTTCTGTTCCAGTTTGGTGCCGTGGTTGTGTGCGGACTCTAATCTGGGAGAACCGGGTTTGATTCCCCACTCCTCCACTTGCACCTGCTGATGTGACCTTGGGTCAGTCACAAGCTCTGGCACAGCTGTCCTTGAAAAAGAGCAGTTTGTGTCAGAGTTCTCTCAGCCCCACCCACCTCACAGGGTGTCTGTTGTGGGGAGGGGAAGGGAAAGGAGTTTGTAAGCCGCTCTGAGACTCCAAGTGAAGGGCAGGGTATAAATCTAATCTCTTCTTCTTCTTCTTCAGTGGTATTTCTTTCAAACAGAACTGTTTTTCCCAAATGCGTTCTGTTCCATGGTATTGCTTTCAAACTGAATAAACGGTAATTGCTAGCACATGCCCTTTTAGTTAGAATTTCAAAACAGGAACTCCTTAAATTTAAAACGAAGCATGTTAGTACTTTGTGTATTTGTCAGAGTAACCTGGAAACATTGGCTTTTGTCTAAAGAAAACCGTGTTTTGCCTTAACTATACTACTATAGGATGGCAAGAAAGCCATATAAATTATTTATCGATGTCGTAAATATTTAATTGAAGTATCTGATTAAGAACATGTTTGTGTTTGCTTTGTTTAAAGATACATTTAAACAGAGAAAAGCTATAAGCTAGTGCTGAGCAAATGTTTAGATCGCCAATATCTTCTCTTATATTACTCTCCTTGCTCCATATTTATCATTAGCATCATTCAAACTGAGCTGGTTTTTACATGTCATACTTGCTACTTATAGTACTTTTCACGATTTCAAAATAATCTTTGTTTTTGCAATAAAGATGTACCATTTTGAAATAGACAGCACTCCATTTCTCCAGCCCCGTATTGGACATCATTTTTCACGTTGTCAAACATGATTATGTCCTAGCCGTTAGATGGCACTGTCCACAGCTGCATTCAAGATTCCGTGGCTGCTGAGCCCTTCTCTGCCAGAGCATTTCTAAAAGGAGAGGGGATTAAATACCTGAGCCTCTTGGGTATGAGCCACAAGCCTTGGATGCCTTATTGATTCTAATGCCACCATTTCTAATTTGCAAATGACAGTGCAAGTCTAAACCTGTGCTTATCAAAAGATGAACATTTATTTTGGTAATAAAGCTTCAGCCCAATTGGCATTGGTTTCCCAGGAAGGATTATAGGCCTGATGTTTCTTTTTACTTTGCCAGTAGGCTGAAACTTTCTATCTGCATTCCCATACATTTAATTAAGGGACATTATTCCCAATATGTTTCTGCCTCAGGGAGGTGGTTTTCAACAGTATTTTAAACTGCTGAAATGTGAACCCTACAGTAGTAGGACCAGACTGAGCAGTAATACCAGAGGTTACTAACAAGTGCAGTGGTCCTCAATTAGCAATCTGCATGTTATGTGAAAGGATGCTTGTGTGCAGCCAGTTTCGTGTAGTGGTTAAGTGTGTGGACTCTAATCTGGGAGAACTGGGTTTGATTCCCCACTCCTCCGCATGTGGCTGCTGGGTGACCTTGGACAACCCCCAGTTCTCTCAGAGCTCTCTCAGCCCCCCTATCTCACGGTGTCTGTTGTGGGGAGGGGAAGGGAAAAGAGATTGTAAGCTGCTCTGAGACACATTTGGGTAGTGAAGGGCGGAATATAGATCCAATCTCCTCCTCAATCCCTAATGTCCTAGGCTGCAGTTCTCATTGCTGGCTTAAACAACACTGAACAAAGGATCAGCACTATTATTTGATAGCATCAGTCACCAGGAAAGTTTTGGATTCAGTGATCTGTCAGCAGAAGGCCCTGACAGATGTGAACCTTCCTTTAGTTCTCCTCCCCCCAGATGTTCTTTCTGAACCCAGGAAAGTTGATTCCCAGGGCCACAGGACCCATGTGGCCTAATCCCCATGTGGGTGCAACACAGATCATTTTGATCTGGGGAATCAACTGTCCTGGGGTCAGAAAGCACTGCAATGGGGAGGGTGACAAAAGAAAGATCTACAATCCTTGTGCCTGCAGATTGCTAGATCCAGCCCACTGAATCTAGGTTGTTCTTCTACTCCCAAGTCTTACAACGTGTGCTTGTCAGTTACAGCTAAAAAGCCAAAAATAATAACCAATAGCTGTACAGGAACATATCCCTTCAGGCCACAGTGAATTATTGCATAAAAGGGTCTTGATATGATACCTAAAAGCCAGAATTTCAGAGTAATTCCTGTTGACGTTTCAACTTCTCTGTGCACATTTGTTTTTTAACCATATGACGACAAGCTCAGAACAAACATCCTGCGGGAACTGGAAGTTGAATTTTTGAAAAAAGGCCTCAATCTACAAAACTGAAATGTATTTATTCTGACCATGGCAGTTGTGGCAACTCACCCTTTCTTAATGCCAGATCTCTAATCTACATGGCATTTTCCTCAACAGGATTTAAGATATATGGTGTTTTGATATGTAAATATTATGTATTTTATTTCTGTGTGTTAATGTGGGGTTTTATATGTATATTGCTGTAGTTTAAAACAGCAGGCCTATAGAGTAAGAAAGAGGGGGGCTGGATGATTAAAGTGTGTTAGCTTTACCCAAGGGGCTGGAGTTGACTTGTTTGCACACAGAGAGAGAGTGTGTGTGTGTGGGAAGAGAGCTGAGTGAGGTGCTGTAGAGTGTGTAAGGAATTTGTGTTCCTTGTTGAAGTTTTAGCCTAAGTGGCAAGTTAGTAAAATTAGGCTTTGTTGAAATTATTAGCCTAAGTGGCAAGAAAATAAGCCTTTGTGGCTAGCTCTATTTAAGGAACTTTTGAGAAAGAAGAACTGTACCTATCTGAAACCATTACACTTATGACCTTTTAAGAAACAGTTACACTGTTATACTTCTAAATAAACTCTATTCATGTTTAAGAGAAGACAACTTTTATTTAAAGGAGCCCTTTTTACCTCAGAGCCACCCCTACATGCTGAGCATTCTGTCATTTTACCAGATCTAACTATGCCACCCTGTTCTTTGGGTTCAATTAAGAAGTCTAAGGTAAGAGCCTTTGCTGATAGCAAAAATAAGTAGGAAACGCGAGGGAAGGCAAGGAAGCAGCATAACACACACTACCTCAGAACACTACAGAGGTATGACATATACAGGGTCTCAGAAAAGAGCAAAACCTTACAACATGTGTTTGCCTGTCTGTTGAACTGGGGATGCTGGGGAGAGGAGTCCGAGGAACCATTTGGAGCAAAGAAAGGCAAGCAAAGGAGGGGTCAAAATCCTTTTCCCCACTGTTTCTCTGCTCAAAACTATTCCCAAAGTTGCCTTCTGTATCACCTTAGGGAAGTGGCTTAGGGCATTTGGCATACCAGGAAACCACCCCTTTGTTAATACTCTGGATCCTCTTATGGGCACACCATGGTAGCAAACTTTTTTTCATATCTACATGTTCCATGAAAGCTTACAGCAGAATTAAAAAAATCGCAAAGCATATAGACTACTTCCCTTTTTCAGAGTTTATCAACCTCTGTTACTGAAATATAACTAATTTTATTCTTGATAAAAAGACACCGAAATCACAGTGAAAAGTATAGAAAACAGGATACACATTTTGGAATGTTGCAGCTGTAAATCCAAGGCAGAAGTTGTGCGTGCAAAACCCAGAGATGTCAGTGGGACGGAAGAGAACATAGTTGTTTACTGGACTGCAATGCTACACTAACCACCTATAATCCACAGCTCCACCTTGACTATGGTGTGCATTAAGGGCTCCTGCAAAAGCAAACTTTCATACTGCTTTCAATGGAGGGGGCAGTGGGTTATGAGCACAGCCCTGTCCACTCCACTGAAGTGGATAGGGAAGCCCTCGTGCTCATTCAAACCAGATGTCCACTTAAGAAGAATTGGTAGATTGGGGCCCCTTACTGTCCATAAGGCAATGAACAGATCTCTTAGCACTCTGCTGTTATAGTTCATCATGTTGGTAGACATTGTATTCTCTGGCAGATATGAAGCCATCTCCGTCATGGTCATTCTTTTTAAATATATCAACCAAAATAGTCTCATGAACCGACGGGTCACGTTTCTTTCCATCTCTTTCAAATTCTCTCTTCAAATAATCATTTATCTGAAAGAATAAAATGGGAAGGAACCAGAAGGATATCACAAAGTTGATTTTCATACTAGTAAAAGAATACAGAAATGCTAATTTAAAACAGCTGGAACTCAATAAAAATAAAAACTATTTTTGAAATGTTACGGTTCTTATATTTAAATAGCAGCCTGCAATCAAGGATTTTTAAAAATTGAAATATTAAAATTATACACTGCCCTGTGTCACACATACTGATGGAGCTGTTGTGTTCATGGTGGGTGGGAAGGAATCCACTGGCCAAAGGAATTAAAATAAAGAGAGCTCTTTATGGGTGAGACAGTGAAATGGAATCCTGTGCTGCTTATAAAATCTGCCTAGGAGGAGCAGGGGTACTAAGGAAGGACAAAAGTTCTCTAGAGAAATTTGAGGACGTATGTGCATGTTTGCGGAAGACAGTCTTGCTATTCCTTCTAGACTAGCTACAGGAAGAAACTGTGAGACCTGCTACTTTTAAACTTAACTTTTCATTTACCTTTGCCATGGTGTGATAGTCAGAAAAGGTTCGAGATAAATTACAAAGAAGTGGGGACCCGCAAGAAACTTGCGGGAGCAGCCTTCCTATTCCCCCCATCTTTGATTCCTCCTGTCTCCCTCCACTTCTCTCAGTGTCTCTCTTTTCCCCCCACCCACCCCTCTTACTTTCTGTCTCCCTCCCCCCATGTCTGCTATCATTCCTTCTCTTTTTCTGCCTCCCTCACCCCATTATTCTCTTTCTCTCTCTCTCTCCCCCACCTACCAGCTTTACTGCCTTGGCAGCTCTGCTGGCTCTTTGCCGGCCTCTTCATTGCTGTGGTGGTTGCTGTTCACTTGACATCCCCCACCTCATCACCTCAGCAGCATAAGTAGTGACTTGCTCAGTCCTCACCCTGCAGCTCCACCATCTGGGCAGCTCACCTGGCCAGTTGGCCTCTTCCCTGCTGCAATGGTTGTTGCTCACCTTCCCTCACTGCCAGCTTCACCACCTTGGTGGCTCTGCTGGCTCCTTGCCTGGCCTCTTTGCTGCCTCTGCAGCTCACCTGACTGCACACTCAGCCCATTCACAGTCACTGTGGCTGCAACTCACCTGCCCACCCCCGCCAGCTTCATGAATACACACGGAACTGCCTTATTCTGAATCAGACCACTGGTCCACCAATGACAGTATTGTCTACTCAGACTGGTAGTGGCTCTATACGGTCTCAAGCCTAGGTATTTCACATCACCTACTGCCTGGTCATTTTAACTGGAGACACCGGGGATTGAACCAGGGACCTTCTGCCCGTAAAGCAGAGGTTCTTCCACTGAGCTACAGTCCCTACTTCAGCAGCTCTGCTGGCTGCTCACCCAGCCTCTCTGCAGTGGCGGCCCCCTGCAGCCCCTCATCCTCCACCTCCCAGTCTCTTTCCTGTCTCAGCCAGTGTTCCCTCTAAGCTGAGTCAGCGTGAGCCAGCTCAAAGTTTTTTAGCCTCTGGCTCACACATTTTTGTCTTGGCTCAGGAAGGATGGCTCCAGAGCAAACTAATTTTATGCAGTAGCCAAATAGCTCGCTCACAACTTTAATGCCAGTAGCTCACAAAGTAGAATCTTTGCTCACAAGACTCCACAGCTTAGAGGGAGCATTGCAGCTCACCTCAACAGCAGTGGCAACTCCTACCCCACCTGCCTGCAACTTTGTCGCTTCAGGAGGAGAGCTGAGCAGGCACAGACAATACTTTTCTTTTGGGGGGATTTAACCCCCCGTGTATTTTTCAAAGTTTTAAGATTTTTCTGCAAACCTGGGGAGTCCCCCAAGATTGGAGAAAAATCTCTCTCAGTGTAGGCCAATCTGTGGATTTAGGTATCCGCAGATCTGCCTATGTTCCAGAAACAGATAAATAGATAAAGATGAGTAGAACAAGAAGTTATTTTACTTCAGGTGGTTGGCAACAACACTCGTTACCTCATTTCTTGAGAGTTTTTTGTCACTGTCCAGGTCCATTTGAGAAAAAGCTTCAACACTGCGTGGTCCTTTAGTCACTGCATACAGTTCAATCTCGAAGATCAGTGTCGCGTTCGGTGGAATTTTTGCTGGTTCTAAGAACGTAACAAGACTGTTACAGGGACTTTTACACCGATCACAGATAAACTTAAACATAGATAATTCTTAGTCGCTGTAGATTTTCCAGGTTGTGTGGCCGTGGTCTTGGCAACGTCAGAACCTGACGTTTCGCCAGTAACTGTGACCGGCATCCTCAGAGGTATAACACAGAAAGATGGAGTACTCTCTGTGTCAAGGTGAGACACAGAGAGTACTCCATCTTCCTGTGTTACACCTCTGAGGATGCCAGTCACAGTTACTGGCGAAATGTCAGGTTCTACAATGCCAAGACCAACGGCCACACAACCCAGAAAATCTACAGCAACTGTGAAAGCCTTCGATAACATATAGATAATTCTGTGGCTATTGCTATTAATATTATCCTTGGCTTCTATGTTAGATATGTTAGGTTTTTAAATATCGCAGCAGGTATTTGCAGAAGAACGACTCCCATTCATTCCATGGAAATTTCTGAACGGACTGTGCCCTAACTAAACTGAAATTAAATCAGAACTTTAGCTAAATATTAGGAAGAACTTCCTGATAAGTTAGAGCAGTTCGTCAGTGAAAGAGGCTTCCTTGGGAGATGGTAGGCTCACCTTCTTTGAAGGTTCTTAAGCAGAGGCTAGATGGCCATCTGACAGTAATGATGATTCTGTGAACTTAGGCAGATTATGAGAGGGAGGGTGGGAAGGGATGAGCCAGTGCTCAGCTTTCGTGGCCCTTTCTTACAAGCCAAGATTAATGCTGATTGCCATTTGGAGGTCAGGAAGGTATTTTTCTCCAGGCCAGATTGGCCAGGGATCCTGGAGGGTTTTTTTGCTTTCCTCTGGGCACAGAGGAGGGGTTACAGGGGGAATGGGGGTGGGTGGGAGGTAGTTGTGAATTTCGTACGTTGTGCAGGAGTTTGGACTAGATGACCCTTGAGACCCCTTCCAGTTTTATGCTTCTAAGTATATTGTTAGCCAAGTTTAACTGTTCTTGAAGAGGAAGGAAAAAACAAGTAAATAGCTCTAAGTTTGTTACATAATGTGAGGAAGTCATTGTTCCTTAAACATAAAATGGCTAGAGAAACACCCGTTCAATAAAAGAGAAAGCATAACTCGAAACATGTCTTTTAGAATACGGGGAAAGACGGTCTCAAAACGTCAATGGTATTTTAAAAAAATCAACGTTTCAAGGAAGAAACTGGGCTTCCAGAAAGACTGATGCTTAGTGTACTACGATAGCTGGTTATCAAGCCTACATACCAAAATCTAGCTTTGGGTCAGAAAGAAAGCGACAGTTAGGAATCAATAAGGAACTCGTGAGCTTTTCAAAGTCAGTCCCCAAAGTGCTCTTGACAAGCCATGCAGCATGCCGTTAACACAGAAGAATGTAGTCTGTCATTAATCTAAAGTACAAAACTTCTTAATATGCCATCTCATCTAAAATTATGCAGTTTATTCTTCTTTCTTGAGCTTCCATACACTGCACTGAAAACAAAAAGCTGGAACAGCCGTCTCCATTAACAAAGGGGAAATATGGTTATTGTCTTTTGATGAATTCAGAGTGGATAAAAATACAATACAGCCTTTTATATACAACCGGAGACCAATGTTCCCTCTAAGGTGTGGAGTCTTGTGAGCAGAAATCCTACTTTGTGAGCGGCTGGCATTAAAGTTGTGAGCGAGTGATTTGGCTACTGCATACATTAGTGTGCTCTGGAGCCCATCCTTCCTGAGCTAAGACAAAAATGTGTGAGCCGGAGGCTAAAAAACGGTGAGCTAGCTCACACTAACTCAGCTTAGAGGGAACACTGCCGGAGACACGCCTGCATAACCTGTAATCCCCAGGGCTGACACCAGCCATGTACAGGAGCCCATCAAGTGACTGATTGACACAATCCATATTGGGCAACAAAAACCAGATTTACTGAACCCCTGGTAAACCACATGCATTGTCTCGTGGGATTCTTAGCCACCCGGTATGTTACAAATCACCCAAGCCTGGTCTAAGATATTTCTTTCTTCAAACTGTTTTGTTAAAAAAAAACCCTGAACACATGCTGCATAATTCTATGGAGCTCATACTTTGCTTCAACTAAGCTCTTAAGACGTAGTAAGCTAAAGGATGCAAGCAGTATTGAGAATTATACATACCACAGGAAAACACACGTAAAGACCTAGAAAGGGACATGCATTTTCGACACTCAAAACTAGCACCATCTCGCCCAGCATGCAGGTTTAAGCATACGGTAGGTGGGGAAAAAAGTCTCCTTCAGTTGCAGCCTAAAACAAACAGCCGTAAGTTAGTATTCAGAAACCATGCAATGCTCAGCTTGCTCTTTGAGAATATCTGTTGTCCAACTAACAGTGCAATCCTAAACTGAGTTTCTTCAGCCTAAGGCCATGGATTCCAAGGGGCCTGGACTGGCATAACTCTACACAGAATTGCAATGTAGGACCTGTTGATGAATAATAATTAAGAATTATCGCGAAATAACGGCAAACTAATTCAGCCTACGGCAGTCAAAGGGATACAGGGCCTGCATACCTAAACTTCAGCCTGGCATAACTCTACACAGAATTGCTATGTAGGACATGTTGAGGAATAATAATTAAGAATTATCGCAAAATAATGGCAAACTACTTCAGCCTATGGCAGTCAAAGGGATACAGGGCCTGCATACCTAAAGCATCACTGGTTCAAACTTAGGGCCACTGTAGATTTGATGGGAGAGGGAAAACTACATGTATTCGTTCACATGTCCACATGATCACATATAAAGTCTGGGAGGGTCTATTTTTAACATAAAATGGAGCACTTGCAGAGGTCATTTCGGGGGGGATCGCGGGGGATCACAGTTCCCCTGGGTGAGGTGCACCTTTAAGACTAACCTTTAAGACTAAGACTAACTGAGGGGTGGGTGTGGTCTTATGACACACTTCCGGTGATTAGGGTTGCCAAATTTAGATCGTCCGGGAGCGGGGGGGGGCTCCCGGACGATCCCGGGCATGTGCGCGCGCGCGTCACCCGGAAGTGACGTCGCACGCTGGGGCGGGGCCACGCGAATTGAGGGGAAAACAAAGAGTTTTCCCCTCGAATGGCTGCCATTTGAGGGGAAAACTCTTTGTTTTCCCCTCAAATCGTGTGGCCCCGCCCCCAGCGTGCGACGTCACTTCTGGGTGACGCGCCACACTTCCGGTGATGTCAGGGGGTGTGGCATATGCTAATGAGTTATGCTAATGAGTCCCCCTAGCTCTTTTTCTATGAAAAGACCCCTGAGCACTTGTGCAAGAACAGCTGGACCCCGCCACAACCTCACTATACACCTTGTGTGTGTGTGTGTGTTAAGTACTGTCAAGTCGCTTCCAGCTTATTGCAACCCTACAAAGTAATGTTCACCAAAACATACGATCATTAACAGCCTTGCTCAGGCCCTACAAATGGAGGGCTGCAGCTTCCTTTATACACAGAGCATTGTTTGAAACGTTTTCCCCCGGAGCAGCTTTGATTTCCGGAGCAACCTGAGCAGGAAGAAGAAACACTTTGAGCAATGGAATGCAGCGAGATAAGAATCTGCACATTAGTTTTCTATTACATGAATATGTCTCCTTTCCTGATGGCAGGATGCATACAGTTCCCAGGAGATCTCCCATCTAGACAATTCTGGCCAGATCCAGACCGGCTTTGCTCGAGCGAGGTTAGTGGGTCATGTGACTTCCAACTATACCCTGGAACCATTTCCATTTTCTGTTAAAAGCAGACACTCCCTCTGCTTTCCCTGTGGACGGACCTGGGACTTGGTTTTCCTTACTCATTATAGGTACTAATCTCTTGCACATCTTTCTCTAACTTCCTCTTCTATCTGCTTATCTTGCACTAGATTTTATGTTAATCCTACTTTGCCAAGCTAAAAATAGGGTGGCCCAAACCCACTGTGAGTAAACCGATTACCCTTTTTCATTAGATCTAAACTGGCCCGTCTTTGTAACGTCTACTCGGCTGCCCTTCCGTTGTGAACATAAAAGCATCAAACTAGTGGATATGCACTCTGATGCACCTGATGAAGGGGGCTCTCACTCATGGAAGCTTATGCTGGAATGAATTTTGTTAGTCTTTAAGGTGCCACGGGACTCCTGTTTTATTTAACTACCGTTACAAGCTGCGGTGGCTCAAGTGGTTAAGACGCTGAACTGCAGGCTGTGGAAGGTCGGCAGTTCAGCAGTTCAAGACCCGAGTGTGCCGCATGACGGAGTGAGCTTCCGTCTCTAGTTCCAGCTCCTGCCAACCTAGCAGTTCGAAAGCAAGAAATTGCAAGTAGATAAATAGGTACCTTTGTAACGTCTACTCGGTTGCCCTTCCGTTGTGATGCTTTTATAAGCATCAAACTAATGGATATGCACTCTGATGCACCTGATGAAGGGGGCTCTCACTCATGGAAGCTTATGCTCGAATGAATTTTGTTAGTCTTTAAGGTGCCACTGGACTCCTGTTTTATTTAACTACCATTACAAGGTGCTTATGGCCAGATAACATCAGAAGAATAAAGATGGGACTAAATCATCCCTATATCTTACAACAAACAGCTAGCTCTTGTGCGGACAGACAACCCTACATAATGAGACCAGCTGTGACTATGATGTAGGCTTAGAGTTGCCAACCTCCAGGCGGTGGCTGGAGATCTTCTGGAATTATAGCAGGTCTCCAGAGATGAGTTCCCCTGGAGAAAATGGATGCTTTGGAGGGTACTCTATGGGATTCTACCTTGCTGAAGTCCCTCCCCTACCCAAACTACACCCTCCCCAGGCTCCACCCCCAAAACCTCCAGGTATTTCCCAACCCAGAGCTGGCAACCCTGTGTAGGCTTCAGGTTGTAGTTTTACACAAAAATCCACTGTTCTTCTAAAAAGAACTAATTTGGGAGTGAAGAAAAACTTCACTTGCAAACTCAAGCGGTGTGCAAAAGTCCCAAAAAACGGGGAATGGGAACCCTAGATGTTGTTGATGTGACTTAAAAAATCTCCACAGCCAATCAGCAGCCCTACTGGGCAAAAGCCCAATGTGGCCAACCCACTTCCTAAAAATACTTGGCCAGATCCAGAAGTGCCCACAGGCACCACACTAGGGACTATTGGTGTAGCGGAGAGTATACAGAAAAGCCAAAGACACATCTTTGTTTTACCGTATCCTTGCTGCCCATAAGCTAGCGAAGGAGGAATGATCACTCTGCGTTTCTCTCCAGGACACATATTCATCATGGCAATATCTAATCCTTTGATGACTTGCCCAACACCGAGAACGAACCATTTTGGGTGGCCTTCATTTTGTGTTTGGAGAAAGAGAGAGAGAGAGAGAGAGATTTTAAAACATCCTTGTTAAAAATAAAAAGAGCAATTGAGTCTATAAGCACAGTATCATTTGTGGTGAATGTGTATTGGAGGGTTTTTTTTAAAATAACTGGTCCCACATATTTATTATTGGATGATAGCCTGTCTGGATTGTAGGATACCATATAAAGGTCTGCCAGCAACTGACTACTCCTTCCTGCTTGGGCACAGCATGAGTGCTCTCATGAGTCAAAGTGTGCCATACCAGGGGGCACTGGGCATCTGCCAGTGCACCAGATCCAATGGATAAGTCTGACACCAATACTGCCATAGGCACACAGTCTAGCCATTCTAACAGTGTGGCACCCTATCTCAAACTAAGTCCAACCGAGTTGGAAGTAGGGGACTTCTGTTTAGGTGTGCCAGGCTGTGTCCGACAACCAGTGGGAGCTTTGGCAGCAGGCACATTAGGGTCCACAGCAACATCTGACCATGACATCACTTCTGGGGAAACCATGGAGTTCCCAGCAATTCCTAGAGCTAGCTGACCTCACTTGTGGGTTTTGCCCAGAGTGATGTCACAGTACAAATGCCAATGGCCTTTTGAATTTCTTCTTCTGCTGCTGCTTGCAGCAGCGGCGAGCAAGAAGGACTGCTGGTGGGAGGCCTCCCAACTATACCTGGGAGGCCCAGCAGCCCTATGGCTGTTTTGGTGGAGATGGGAATGATACTCTGGGGTGCCAGACCTTATCCTAGCAAGTCACAGCCCAAAACAACAAAACCCAAATAAGACAGCCATTCTTTTGGCACAGGCAAACCAAAGAAAGTTCGGGATCAATATTTTTTACTTCATTTATACCCCAACTTTCTCCCCAGCTGGGACCCAAAGCAGATTACATCGTCCTCTCCTCCATTTTATCATCACAACAGATATCATTCTCTCCTCCATCTTATCATCACAACAGTCCCATAAAGTTAGGCTGAGCGTGTACAACTGGCCCAAAGTCACCCAACAAGCTTTACCTGCAGAGTGGGGATTTGAACCTTCTTTTCCCAGATCCTAGATTAACCACTACTCTACAGTACTGGTTCTCCTCACTGGTGGCACTGCGCATCAGAGATGGCTCTATGTGCTTACATACTAAGTGTTTCCAATAGGTATGTCTAACATGGCCTGAAGACCATTTCCTACACTCTCTCTTTAAGAATGTAGGAATTGGCCTTCAGTCCATACACAGAGACTATGTAAAAGTAAATCTGTGGTAGGGTGTTAGTCTTTAAGGTGCTACTGGGCTTTTACTCTTTTCTACTGCTACAGACAGACTAACATGGCTACCCATCTTGATCTACGTAAAGGGGCTGTTAGCAACTTCTGCATCTTGCCTGGGCACAACACCTTTGATATTTCTGGCTCTACAACCTACCAAAATGAGGAATGGCTGAAAACATCTTCAATACAAAGAGTGGTCAAAACGATTAAACAGTAGCCCCTAACTCTTGTTCCAGAACAATCTACGCTCTGGAGATTTTAGGGATGGTCTGCGGTGGCTCAAGTGGTTAAGACGCTGAACTGCAGGCTGTGGAAGGTTGGTAGTTCAGCAGTTCGAGACCCGAGTGTGCCACATGACGGAGTGAGCCCCCGTCTCTAGTTCCAGCTCCTGCCAACCTAGCAGTTCGAAAGCAAGAAATTGCAAGTAGATAAATAGGGACCACTTCGGTGGGAAGGTAACAGCGTTCTGTGCGCCTTGGTGTTTAGTCATGCCGGCCACATGACCACAGAAACGTCTTCGGACAACGCTGGCTCTTCGGCTTTGAAACGGAGATGAGCACCGCAACCCTAGAGTCGGACTCAACTGGCTTTCGAGCAAGGGAACCTTTACCTTTTTACAAACTACCAATTCCTTAACTGTAAAACACAAAGGAATGTCTCCAAATTGTTAATTAGATCACCTTGGTGAGAGCTCTTATGTTATGAGACTCTGCATGCCAGGCTAGGGGGGGAGAGCATAACGTCGCCAACCTCCAGGTCGGGACTGGAGATCTCCCAGAATTACAACTAATCTCCAGACAACAGTTCCCCTGGAGAAAAGGGCAGCTTTGGAGGATGAAGTTTACGGCGCTATACCCTGCTTGAGGTTCACCCCTTCCTCCAACCCCAACACCCCAGGCTCCAGCCTCAAATCTAGGACTGTAAGCTACAGTGGGGATTTTGGGGGCTCCACCCCTTTCGTAAAGGCACAGCCCCACAAGAATTTCTCTTGTAAATGCTTTTTTCAATCATTGTTAAACTTTTTTTTAAAGGTGTGCATTCCTTTAAGCAGAGTGGGGAGCTGTAGTTGACTAATTCCCGCACTGAGCAAGATTCCTTCTAACTCTGTGTTAAGAAACTGGTCTCCTTTAAGACAGTTTTTCTGCCTAAGTGTTAGCTTTGACTATAGAAGTCATCACCCCCACCTGCTGGCTTTTGATCAGAATTGTTGCTTAGGTTGGCAGAAGTGATTAACTTGCAGCAGTTGAGAACTGTCATCTAAAGTGGTTGACAGCTTGCAGTTCAGAGATCTATCCTGGTCACAGCTTTCTATTGACTAAATGGCTTTTCTTTCTGCACTGAGAACTTCAGCCCCACCAGAAAAAAATTTCTCCAAGCCACAAAATCCTGGCTACGGGCATGCCCAAATCTCCATGAATTTCCCAACCCAAAGTTGGCAACTCTAGGCCAGACCCCAGTAAAACACATTATGTACATGCGTAACATATCTGTCATTGAACAAAGTCTGAGTCCAGTGGCACCTTTAAGACCAACAAAGGCTGCGGTCACACACACTAAATAATCCCCTTTCAGTGCACTGTCCAACTGGGGTTTGTACTGTGTGAACTGGCAAAATCCAGTTGGAAAGTGCACGGAAAGTGGATTATTTAGTGTGTGTGACCGCAGCCATTGTTTAATTCCGGGTGTTATGTACCGGGGCTCCAAGGGCTGGAACATCCCAGCACTCTCTACCAGAGACCGGCTGAGTTTGAAGCTCTAGAACAAAAGCTTTGGTGTGCCTGCACACTTCTTCAGATACAATGAAACCGAAGTCACCAACCATTACATATTGGTAGAAGGTGGGGAGGGTGTTGCCAGGATGCTTATACACTAAAGCTCATTCCCAGAATTAAACTTTGTTGGTCTTAAAGGTGGACTCAAACTCTGTTCTATTGCTTCAGACCAACACAGCTACCCACCTGAATATATGTCATGGCATGACAACGAATCGAAGGTATTGGACCCCCACCCCCGCCAGCATACATTAACTCATTAACTTCAGAGACCAGGTTGCCTGGTTCTTTATAAACCAAACAAGAGCCAACCTGTTTATTGGGGAGGGGTATGTTACGCGGCGGTGCAAACCCAAAAGAGGAGAACAGGATCCTCGGGGGGAGTGGAGAGCACAGCGCCTCCCCCACTCACCTGCAATAAAACTTGGATTTATCACTGGCCAAGTAGCCGTCGTAATGGGCATTCAGCAGATCGCCCTTCTTGCTTTTTTGCTGGCACTCTTGGGGGACGTACACGACTTCCATCTGAACGTCGTCCGCAGAGGCGCCTCCTTTCTGCTGCCCGCTCGCCCGGAGAGTCAGGAGAGCGAGCGCCTGCAGGGAAAAGCACAGCATGACCGCCCCGTAACGCATCTTCTCGCCTGGAACGACCGACCTCCACAGCAGCAAGAGCAAGGGCATGCAAGCGCAACGTCAGAATGCGCCCCCCTCGCTTCTCCCGGGGCTGCGTGGCACTGCCATTGTTTGACGTCACCCAGGGGCGTGGCCCCAAATAAATCCAGATGTTGCCTCGGCCTTATAAGCCAGTCTGGCGCTTTGTTTCCGCCTTTGCTTTTCCCTCCGGTCTCTTTGCCCTCTCTGCTCGGGTCCCCGCCCCATGTGGATTTTTGTAGAGCTGCTCAATTTCAAGCTACGCGTACAGGTCTCCTTCCTTCTTTACACCCAGGGGGCGGCGGTGATGGTGGAGGGCAGATAGGGCAGCCAGACTGCAGGTTCCTTCCTGCATGCCGGGCACGTTTTTCCGTTTTCTCCTTTTCCCTTTGAAACTTGTGGCGGAAGAGAAGCATTTCTCCCGTCCTGGAGGAAAACCCGGGACGGCTCTCCCCACGACTTCCGCGCCAGTGTTGACCAACGGTAGCACTTAATAGCTTTATGTTTCCTTGCGTGTTCAGGCCGGGAAGAATTGAGGGCACTGACTGGGCTGCAGCCTTCTCTCTTCCCCTGCTGCGTGTCTGCTTGGAATTAAAATCCCACTAATATTCAAAACGGCGCATTCGCAAACCGGGTTAAAAAACCCTCCTAAATCCCTTGCAGTCAACTGTGTAACTGTTCAGCATTGCACGGTTAATCTCCAGCAAATGAGCACCGGGTTGCGGTCCGCAGGTTATAGAGGGGCGTACCGGGGAAAAGGTGTGTCAGATATAGCTATAAATTGGGTGCCGTGCATACGCTGGGGAACTCTACCCTGAGTTATTCCTTTTCCAGCCCCTTCGACGCGTGTGTACGCACGCGCGTGTGCATTAGGACTTCCTCTCGAGTTTTTTTTTGTGTGTGTTTTTCTGGACCGATGAGGATTTGCAAACTGTGCGTGCGCACGTTCCCCCCCCCTTCCCTGTTTTTATTTTTTTTTAAACCAGCCCCTTTCATCCAGGAAGTAAATGACACGTCAGGGTCAATGGAGCCAAACGCAAAGGCCCGCGGAGGAGGGGGGAGGGAAAGGGGAAGGAGGAAAGGCAAGGAAGCGGCTTGCCGAGGAGTGGAGGGAAGTAATCGGAGCCCATGCAAAGACTGCCTCTCTTTTTCGGTAACCGCTTTCTCTCTCCCCCCCAGTGGCTAGGATGCGCATAGGCGATGAATGACTCCGCGGCTGCTGCGGTTGCACGTGCCCATAAGCCAGAAGATCGGGCAGCCTCTCCAGAGCCGGCCGGATCCAAAGGCGGCGGCGGCTGCCGCTTCTGCTCCCCGAGCTAAGCCGCTCACTTGTCAATGTCCATAGCGGCTCGTTGCTGCAGCCGCTTCGGAGCGCGGAAGGGAAGAAGAGGCGACCCGAGGAAGAGCCCCGCTGGTTTCTGCTGCTCTTTCCA